ATCTGTGCTGCGTTTATGCTTTCAAGTGAGAAACAGTGAAATACACAAGGGGATGGCTTGCACTTGACTCCAGGATGGTGTTTGCATGTCTGCGTTTTGTTTCATATTAAATTGAGTGGGGCTAAACTCATTTGGTTTCAGCGAAGGTAGTTTCCGTGCATTCACTTCAAGCCGGGATTGCCGAGAGTGGTGACCAGAAGAGAGAAGGCCATGGGGAGGTAAGGTGAGGCAGGAATACTAGAGGGTGGGGCAGGGCTCAGCTCAGTGGCGATGTTTCCTCAGCAGCCTTCAGGCCTTTCATCCCATCATTTCTCTCCTCTGATAAGTGTCTCTGCTTTAAGAGTGTTTGCCAGACAGAAATAAAAATCGATTGGGGGAAAATTATATGCAAAAAACCATTTTCCTTTCAAAATATTCCTAGAGAAGAGAGGAAGCACGCACGGACATAATGCCATCTAATGTTGCTATTACTGCATTTGCTGCTTAGCAAAGTACATAGAAGGCACATTGCAAATATTCAGGTATTAGCTGTGTTGAGAAATTGTTTTCATTTAGTAAATGTATTAGTTTGCCGGGGCTGGCATAGCAAAGTAGCACAAACTGAAAGCCTTAAATAACAAAAATTTATGGTCTCACAGTTCTGGAGGCTGAAGTCGGAAATGAAGGTCTCAGCAGGGTGAGTTCTTCTGAGGGCGCCGAAGGAAAATCTGTTAGGTGCGTCTCTCCTGGTTTCTGCTGGTTAATGGCAATATTTGATGTTCTGTGGCTTGTGGAAGCATCTCCCTCATCTCCACCTTCATCTTTACTTGGTGTTCTCTGTGTATGACTGTCTGTGTCCAAATTTCCCCTAATTGTAAGGACAGCAGGGATATTGTATTAGTGGCCCACCCTACTTCAGTATGACCTTCTCTTAATGAATTATCTCTGCGAAGATCCTGTTTCCAAATAAGGTCACATTCTGAGGTAATTGGGGTTAGGACTTCAGCACATGAATTTTAGGGGAACGTAAATCAACCCATAACAGTGAAGATTTATTAACTCACTTTAGGAAGCTGATATTTATTTAGGAAGTAAATGTTTATTGAGCATCCATGATGTGACATGCATGAGGTATTGAGATTTAAACAGATAGGCTTAAATATTTTCCTGTATCCAAGTCACTTTCAGTAAAGAAGTAGAGAGACATAACTTAATAACTAGAATACGACGGAGCTATATGAAGGCATTTACGAGGAATAGGGTTGGTACCGAGAAAGGGGATGCTGGTGAAGCCTGCTTTTTAGGGGAGATGTCAGGGAAGTGTCACTGAGGGGCTACATTTGGGCTGCATATCAAAGCATTAAGAGGAGCTCCAGGGCAGTCTGGACAGAAAGCACGGCGTGGAGATCTGACCTGAAAGGGTGTGTTCGCAGGACTTTAAGCCATCTTATACGGGAGAGTGGTGTCTACTGGGAGGTGATGGATTGTCACTGTGAAGTTTCAAGTGTTGGAGTGAAACTACTGGACTTGTGGTTTTGAGAAGTTCTACCTGACAGCCTGGTGGCTGGCATGGAGCTGGGCTGTCAGGTACCTCTTATTTTCCATGTCCATCCTGTTCTATTCTACTAGTAACTGTCTGTCTTTTCCAGCATTTCCCAAGTCTTCCCTTACCCTTCACAGTAAATCTGCAAAAGGAACAAGCTGGTAAAAGCACTTTTGGGAGACTGGGGAAAGGGATATGAATATTCCTATGCTAACTATTTTCTGGCCCCAAGTAGGCTATTGGTGACCGTTGGTATGTTCAGATAAGCAGTGCGAGTGGAGGCCAGAGTACAGTGGGCTGAGGATTAATTACTTGGTGGACGAGGCGGTACGAGTGGTGAGTACAGGCTCTTTGTGGCAGAAGCTTGATTTGGAAGGGAAAGAAAATAAGAGGCTGACTAGGAGATGCCAGGTAATTGAGGTAAGGTCTGTTGAATGTTTTTTGGGGGTGAAATTTTGTTTTGTGTTAATAGAGTAGAAATTTACAAAGGAAATGGCCCTCATTTTAACAGAAAAATCAATACCATTTGCATCCCTCATTATTAATATGCATTGGAACTTCATCCATTGGACCTGGTGAAGAAGGCAGTCACCGTCTCACCAGGCTGGAAGCCTGGATGTTGGAATGTGGACATTTCCTACTAGAGTGGCTTGAAAGTCCCCTTCGACCATTCTGGTGATAGGGATGGAGGTGTGAAAGTGGATGCTCCTTGAGAGGAAGGAATGAGCCAAGAGGGATGGAGCCCGGGGATGCAGGGAGAAAGTGGCCTTTGTTTTATGGTTATGCAGTCTATCCAGCTTATACATTTCAGATGACTGATTCAACAAACCTTTGTATATCTCTTCCTACTTCTTTCCCACTGAGCTAGGTAGGTCCTGGGGTTCCTGTGAGTCCTGGGGCTGTAGTCAGGCAGTTGCAATATCTCATCATTCTCATGCTAAGTTTTTCCTGACCTGAACATTTCCACTGGAAAATGATGATTGCACTCTTCTAATAGAAGGCTAAGCGATTTAGATCTAGGAGCAAGGAAATAGTGGCTGTGGTTCCTCTAGAAGAGGAAGAGGATGTAGACAGGTTATTTTTTGTAATGACATTCATTTTCCTTGGTTCTTTGCTTATGTGACACCTGGATGTACAAGATGGTTAACAGAATATTGCTATGGAGGCACTTTTTGACAAGTTCTGAACTACCATCTGGGTGAGAGTATTTGTTACCGGCACAATACTTATACATGAATGGCCACTGTGAAATTGGTTTCTAAGGGGCGATGTTATAATTTGCTTTCTTAAGTGCATTGACTACAAAGACATCTCCTAAACTCTTTGTAAACTTACCAGAAGCCCTTGCATACCCATGGATGAAGCCAGAGCTTTTCAGTGGCTCAGGTTTCTCCTTCTAACAGTGCTTGAAATTCCTTCCCAGAGAATGAAGCTTTTAATTCTAGAATCAGTGTTCAGATTGTGCAAAGGCATGGATTTAAGGTAACAGCTATTAACATTGGCAAGGTTCTTTCTATTGTGCAAATTGCTTTCACATATATTTGGTATATTTTGCCCTCCAGACAGTCCTTGGCTTCATTATTGTGTAACTTGTTTTCTGTTTGAAGAAATGGAGGCTTAGCAGTTTAAGAAAGTGATTAAAGTCAAATGGCAAGGATGGGATATGTGATGGAGCTCTGAGCGCTGGGTGTCGGCCTCTGTAATATTTGTGCATGACTGACTACACAGCTCTCCTTCTGAGTCAGTGACTTTTAAGCTCTTTGGAACCACAGTAAATTCCTTTTACCTGATGACTCAGTACACACATATGACCCACCAAACAGTACTTGCCTTGACCATTCCCCAGGCCTTCTAATATTTTATTCTACCCAATTCTGTTTTCTTTTCAATGTCTGGTCTTATTAAATTGACTTGGTGATGCAGTAATGGGTCATGATGCAGAATTTGAAAAAAATTACACTCAATTCCTTCCCTAAGAAGTAGAGGAAGGTCAGAAACGGAGGATGGTGGGAAAGGAATGGGGTGTGTGTTTTTCCAGTGTGGTGTGGGAGGGAAGTGGCCTCTCGCAGTCCACTTGTGAGAACTGCTCCCATGTTCCGATCCGACTTCAGAGGTGGGAAAACACTGGGAGCTGGTGAGGTGGGTGGGGAACATCACTGTCTGCCGCACCGCTCGTTTCTTGCATTCAGTCCACTTTTGTGGCCATTGTTGTTGTGCTGGTTGGCTCTGCCCAATTCTTCCTTCTGGTTGCTAACTCTCTTCATATGTCTGCTGTTTTACCGGGGGCTGCTCACATCTGTAAATGACGCTCTAGGTTGTACAGTCTTGGAGGTTCAAGTGGAGTCTTTTGGCAGCTGTGCAGGCCAGCGTTTGCATCCCTGCAGGGGCTGCAGGGGGCCTTAACCCTCCCCCGTCAGTGCCTGGTTCTCTGATCCTGGCCGAGCATCTTGGTCTCAAAGTGTTGCCCGAAGTCTAGACTTGGAAATCTGCTTCAGGCCAGGCCAGGTGATCTTGAACCTGAAAAACAGAAGTCATGACGTTTGCTCTGTATCTATCAGAAAAACAACTCAAAGCACATTCCCTGTTCATGTAGGGGCAGTAAAATCTTCCCATTTTCCCAGAGACGATGCGTTATGGCAGGCCAGAGGAAGCTCTGTAATCACCCTCGAGAGGAAAACGGCAGGCGTAAGAAAGCATTCATCACCTCAAGGTAGAAATCACCCACTTTTTATAAGAATGTCCCACTGTGAAATCAGAATGTTCTACCATGCCATCTGCAATGAAATTGAAGGCCCCCCAAAGCCCACAATCCAAAAGACATGATAGTGTAAGATAAATGGCAATGATTGCAATTAACAATGGCAGTCTCTCAAGAGTGGGCCTGCCTGCGGGACCTGTGTTGATATTTGGATTTGGATTTTTGCTTGTTTGTAGATTTTGGGGGTCATCTTTTGTTAGGGTTGGGAGGTAGCTGTGTGTGGTGAAATCCATGGATTTTTTCCCACAACTAGAGGAAATAGCAGGTTGAGGGCAAGATGTGCCACGGAGAGTGAAGGTGTGTGAGTCAAGAGATGATCTTGTGGAGGGATGGCTGCTTCTGAGACTCTCTTCTGCCATATTAACAAATCACGGATGCATTTGAGTTTCCTGTGTGGACATCCATGGTTTGTTATTGTGTCTGTACGACTTTCTGAATAGAGATCATCTTCCATGCTCTTTTTTTGTTTTTGTTTTGAGATGGAGTTTTGCTTTTGTTGTCTAGGCTGGAGTGCAATGGTACGATCTCCGCTCACTGCAACTTCTGCCTCCTGGGTTCAAGCAATCCTCCTGCCTCAGCCTCCCAAGTAGCTGGGATTACAAGCATGCGCCACCACGCCCAGCTAATTTTGTATTTTTTTAGTAGAGGCAGGGTTTCACTATGTTGGTCAGGCTGGTCTTGAACTCCTGACCTCAAGTGATCCACCCATCTCGGCCTCCCAAAGTGTTGGGATTACAGGTGTGAGCCACCGCACCCGGCCGCTTCCATGCTCTTAATCCTCACATACCTATCTCCTGAGACCAACGGGCTCAATGCTGGGATCTGTGTTTATTCACCTCCGACTGTCAGTTCTGTGCATGTGCTGTTTCCTTGTCCTCCTTCTCTGCATAGCTTTTTTATTCCCTTTGATACTCCAAGATTACAATCTTTGCTAGGGCCGGGACTATATCTTTTGCGTTCTCTTGTTCTCACAACTAGGATAGGACATTTTATGTTGTGGAACTGACAAGTTTCTGAAATTTCCATCCATGGACGTGATCCACCATAAACCACAGAAGTTAAGTACTGGAATGTTTACTATTGGGCAATTTGCTCAATATCTCTAAGCCTCAGTTTCTTATCTTAAGAGCAGGGATGATAATAGCACATGGAATCATTGTGAAGTTAATTGAGAAAATGCATGTAAAGAATTTAATGCAGTGCTTGACACATAGAGACATCACTCCATTGTTGATATACTAACTTCCTCAAGAATTTAACAGAATGAACCAGGATAACAAGAGTGAGACCATGCTGTGGCCTGGAGAGAGGGCATGGAACTGTAGCTGTACTGGGAGGGGCTGTGAAGAAGGAGCTGAGCAGAGAAATGTGGCTGTAGCCAGGAGAAGCCAGGGGGAGGCATCCTGGGAAGAGAAACCCCAACCGCTTTCCCTGTTGTTGCTTCCCCATGACCAAATCCAGAGGACACTGGCCAACAAGGCAGCCCCAGATGATGGCATTCACAGGAGACAGGCTCCTGTGGCTTAGATAAGGACTGGCACATCTTCTCGAGGGGCTGTGCACACACCTTATTGTTGCCCACGAATTCCCTGTTTTCCACCAGAGTCCTTGGCCTGACCAGTCCTTCCTTCTGTATAGGATCGCAGGATCCTGGGACTGGAAAGGACCCTGTGATCACTCTCTTCACTCAGTCCCTTCATACAGAGGAAAGATCGAGGTTGTCTCCAGTGTGGTCTTGGTGGCGGTCAAATGGCGTTCTTTTTATTGGTGTTGCCAGAGTCTGCTGGGGAGCAGAGCACACAGAGCGTGCTCAGAACGTGGTGGTGGAAGGGACCCACTGTTTCTCATGATTTTTAGCCTTTACAGCGGCACCACATTTTTACAGTGAGCCACGTGTTGTCTTTCTCATTCATGGGACTGTTGCTTGCAAGTGTCTTCCTCTTAGTGTCTGTGTTTTTGGAGCGACCCTGCCCTCGAGAACAGGGGACCTGTGCTGTGCTCCTCTTGATCCCCTTGGACATTTACTATCAGGGCCGAGCACACGGGGCCAGCACATACTTTCTGAATTAAATTTCACAAGGGTTACCTGGAAAGCTGTAACTTTTTCCGAGTCCTAAAACCGAGGAGCACTGTTGGTTCCTCCCTTTTCCTTTCTAAGGTCATTGTGGCAGACGTCTGTTCCTGCACTTGCGGCTCCACGAGAGGAGAAAATCCCCCTTCCTCCTAGCAGGGCCATTGCCACGCTGATGGGCATTACAGGGAATCCTAAAGATGGAGGGTCTGTGTGCATTCCCTCTTTGGAGGGTAGAGACCAGGCATTGCATGCAAAAGCCCATCAGGTACGAAGTAACCCTGGTCCAACCCTTGCTGGCATGAAACCACTGTGTAGACTCTTGTCACGTCAGCCAGCTGAGGCTTACGATGTTTTCAACTGAAAAATCTTCACTGCTTCCCTGTTGTATGCAGGAAACAGTTGCCTGGGTGTTTGTCAGTCCTGCCGTGTTCTGTGTGTCCCAGGCTCCCTGATGACTGCCCTGCCCAGGGCTTATTTCCTGGGAACACCTAGCAGCACTGCTCCCAGCTGTGGTTGCAAAGACAAAAGGAACAAAAGTCATTGATTCATTAACTTGCCACCAGGGAACCCACCTGCCTGGCTTTTCTTGCAGCAGGAATCAGAGGTGCTAGAGAGGACAATGGGTTTTCTAGAGTCAAAAGGGAATACTTGACAAGCTTCTCTTAAGGTGTCAGTTTTAGAGGCAGGAAGACTTAATTGGTCTTAGGGTACGTTGAGCAGACCATGGTTTGGCTGCAAGGGAGCAGGTGAGCCCTTTGGGGACATTCGAAAGAGGAAGGATTATTTACTATTAGGGGAGGGGAGCAGGAAACTTTCTCTGGTTGGATGTTTCCTGGAGCAAGTCAGGGTCAGGGTGTTGCCTTTTGGGTCCACCTGTCATCATGTCCTTGCCTCACTGAGTCATTTCTCACTTTTATGTCTGATACGGAAGAGGGGAAGAGAAGTGCTGGGAAGGGAAGAGTGCGGTCCCTTTAAATAATACTGAAGGGGGAAGGGCATGGTCCCTGGTTAGGGCTCCATCCCCAGGCCTGTGCCTACGGACCTAGGTGAGGACAGGCATTTTTGTTTTCCTGCCCAAATGTTGCGTTTCCCAAGACCACCCTGGCCTGCCACATCCCCACGCTGTGCCTGTAAAATCCCCAGGACCCTAGCAGGCAGACACATAGGTAGCTGGATGTGGAGAGGAACACGTCAGCGGAGGAACACATGGGTGGCTGGACGTCAAGAGGGGCGCACAGACAGGCACCGACAGGCACCAGAGGGGCGCACAGACAGGCACCGACAGGCACCAGCAGGCTGCAGGCCACCGATCGGCAGAAGGATGTGGAGTTGGGCGAGGGCAGTCAGGGGAGTGTCCAGGCCGTTCAGCGGCCTAACTCCAGGGGAAATCCATCTCCCTCCTGGCTCCCCCATCTGCTGAGAGCTTCTTCCATTCAATAAAACCTTGCACTCATTCTCCAAGCCCACATGTGATCCGATTCTTCGGACACACCAAGGCAAGAACCCAGAGATACAGAAAGCCCTTTGTCCTTGCGATAAGGCAGGGGTCTGATTGAGCTAACAGAAGCCTCCTACGGACGGCTGAACTAAAAGAACACCCTGGAACACATGCCCACTGGGGCCGCAGCAGTAAACATTCACCCCTAGACACAGCCTGCCCGTCTGCGTGCTCCCCTAGAGGTTTGAGCAGCGGGACACGGAAGAAGCAAGCCACTCCCGCATCACACTCCCTGAGAGAGGGACAAGGGAATTTCTCCCGTTTCATGTTGACACAGAGATGGGGTGTGTGACTAACAGAGGGATTTTGTTGGCGAGAAGTGAGCGATGGGTGGATTGTGTGCTGACCGAAGCCAGTTTCCCGTGTACAGTTCTTCAGTCTTAGTAGTAGATAACAAAACTGCTGAGACATTGGGCTGGGTGGACCCCTTTCCCACAGCCTCACTCCCACATTACCACGAAAGGAAGGTCCACGTAAATTTCTGCCGTGTAGACGGAAGCCACCCATTAAACTAACAAAACAGGTCATACTCCATGGAGTTTGTAGGTGAGGTGCTACCTCTCTTCCTTTAGGTCGCCGGACTTTGACTAGCATGAAAGGTAAGTTGTAACATGTTCCAGAAGTGTGATTCTGTTTCCTTTGCAAGCAGCTTCAGGCATCTGGCATTTCCTTCCTTCCTTTCCCTTCCTTTCCCTTCCTTTCCCTTCCTTCCCTTCCCTTCCCTTCCCTTCCCTTCTCTTCCCTTCCCTTCCCCCTCTCTCCCTCTCTCCCTCTCTCCCTTTCTCTCCTTCCCTTCCCTTCCCTTCCTTTCTTTCCTTTCTTTCTGTCTCTCTCCCTCTCTCTCCCTCCTTCTCTTCTCCTTCCTTCCTTCCCTCCTTCCTTCCTTCCTTCCTTCCTTCCTTCCTTCCTTCCTTTTTCTTTCTTGTTTATTGACGGAGTCTCACTCTGTCACCCAGGATGGAGTGCAGTGGCACGATCTTGGCTCACTGCAACCTCTGCCTCCCGGGTTCAAGCAATTCTCCTGCCTCAGTCTCCCGAGTAGCTGGGATTACAGGCAGGTGCCACCATGCCTGGCTAATTTTTGTATTTTTAGTAGAGATGGGGTTTCACCATATTGGTCAAGCTGGTCTTGAACGCTTGACCTCATGATCCACCTGTCTCAGCCTCCCAAAGTGCTGAGATTACAGGCGTGAGCCACCACGCCCAGCCCAGCCCGCATCTGGCATTTTCTAAGTCAGTGGCCCCTGCATCCTGTAGCTCTCCTAGCGGCTAACCTGAAACTATGGGATGCAGGGCTTGTTAGAGTCTCCTCTCTTCATGCACATGAACTGAAGGTCTGTAAAGGGCTGAATAACAAGCTGTCAATCAGTAACTATAAAATGTAAATGATGTAACTGTAAAATGTAAATAAATAACCATAAAATGTACCTGGAGGGCTCTTTAGCAAGCCTCTGGCATGGAGAAGGATACCTGAAGCTCCTCTAGTTGCTGCCATGGTAGAGGGTGGGGGTGGGCTTTACGATGTAATTCCCATTTGACAGCTGAGGAAAGCGGAGGTCTGAGAAGGTAAATAAGTCACCTGAGCTCCCACTGTTAGTGACAGGCAGAAACAGCCTTGCAACCAGGCTGCCTGTGTTTGGTTCAGACCCTCTGTGGAGCACGTGGTTTAAACCACCGATCATAACTGTAGGTGGTGGGCAGTGTCTTATAAGCAGGGGGTCCCACCAGCCCTGCTCCTCCTGTCTTGGTTGGCTTGTCACCCTAGAGAGTGGCTGCCTAGGAGCCTAGTTGCACCCATCCCTGCTCCTGAGGCCCCTTTCCCCCTCATGCTCCCTGGCTCAGACCCTCTTCCCTGGGTCAACAGTTGCTCTCGCACCATGGGTGAGAAGTCCAGCTCTTTTCAGGATCTATGTGTCTCAATACAGGAAAACACCTTAAGAGTACGTGTAAGGCTGTCAGTATTTGGGCCTATCCTTAAAAATTCTCAAACACGTTTTGAAGGAATTAAACAATTATTTGCCCAGCTTGTGCTGAACTATGAGGCCTTGCAAAGATGAATCATTTGACGACAAAGTGGATTCTATCAAGAAAGATGAAATCCATTCTATTTTTTTTTGAGACTGAAGACAGTTTTAATATTGCCTTTCCAATCTGGATGCTTTTTTTGTTTGCTTTTCAAGACAGAGTCTTGCTCTGTCACTCAGGTTGGAGTACAGTGGTGTGATCATGGCTCACTGTAGCCTTTATCTCCTGGGATCAAGCGATCCTCCTGCCTCAGCCCCCTGAGTAGCTGGAACAATGGGTGCATGCCACCATGCCTGGCTATTTTTTCTATGTTTTGTAGAGATGGAGTCCCACTATGTTGCCCAGGCTGGTCTTGTCTCGAACTCCTGAGCTTAAGCGATCTGACTGCCTCAGGCTCCGAGAGTGCTGGGATTACAGGTGTGAACCACTGCAGCCAGCTGCATTTTTGTTTCCTTTTCTTGCTGTGTTGAATGGTGAAGACTTCTAGTAAAATACAGTGGTGAGAACGGGTATTTCAAGGTTGGAAGATGCCAAAAAGTAGTTCGCCATTTGTAAAGAAAGTTTGGGATATTAGCTAGAGTTATGCACTACTACAAACATGATAAATCTCACATTATTAAAAACATGAAGTTAAAATCCACGGCAATTGTATTTTAGCTTCCAACACTACAGAACCGTGTTTATGCCTGGGATTTCCATGGTTAAACTGATTTTATGAAAATAAGTGTCAATGATGTCTCTTTAAAGCAAAAAAATAAAAAAAAAAATTTAAAAAGCTGAAATGTGATATAAAATTGATGCCCTAAAGTCTTACTCTAACTTTGTGAACTAGAATATTAGCATTATGGAATTTAGATTTTAAAAAGTTCTTAAAATTAAGCTAGTCTTTTACAGTCCATTTAATGCTTGAATTCCAAGTTTTTTAATATCTTCATGATACATTAATTAACTATTTTCTGGAATAGCTCATTCCACCTTTAGATTTTACTAATTATTTGCATAACCATTGTTAAGTCTTCGATTGAATTTGATCTCGGTATTTTCTACCCACTGGTTCTTGTTCTAGTCTTTTCTTTCTCTGAGACATGGTTTCTAAATGTTAAGCATTGTAAGTGACATTGAAAATTCTTCATATTCCATCGTATAATTCTTCATATATTCTATCATATAATATATGCGCTCTTTCTCCTGGCCTCTCTCTTCTGAACATAATTCAGGCTTTATAAATCCCTGGTAAAAGTGAGACGTATAGAACTGACTGTCCAGGAGTTTTTTTGATTCGTGTTCTAAATGCTGTGCTTTGATAGCCTGACTAAGAGGACTTTTGCTGTTTTGGTAGCAAATCCCACAACTTCAAGTAGAATTAATGATCCCCATTTTACATATGAAAAGTAAAGAGGCACTGGTTCTTCACAGTAGAATACCCATTTGACTTGTCTGTGTTCTGTAGTAGCTTTCTCTGTAAGTGTTACTTTCCATAGGAAAATCTTCCCTATACCAAGTTACATGCTTCCAGTTTAAATAATTAATTTCTCCTTTGGCTGGTTTCTCATCACATCCACTCATTCATCAAGTGTACATTGCACTTGGGTGTACTTGGCTCTGAGCTGGGCATGAGAATTATCAAATGAAGAAAGCAAAGGTCAGCTTCAGAGGCATTCATAAAATAGTGTCCTTTATATTACAATATAATGATTGCTATAAAGAAGCATATATAAAGTTAGTAATAAATGGTAATAAATTATTTATCTCTGCTTTGAGGAAACCGAGAGGGTGGGACATTTCATGTGACGAATGTAGGAATGGCCGACCTGAGAAGGCATGGAAGGGCATTCCAGGCCTAGGGACCTGCATAGATAAAGCAATTGAGGTACGGTAACTTGAGGAGTTACACACATTGAGGTTCCTCTTCTTACATACCTCCTATTTGAATTTTTACCTTTCTTTTTTTGTTTGTTTTTGGATATTTCTGTTTGCTGTGTCTCTTTCTTTGGAAAGTACTTGCAGGATCAGCTGTTTTTGAAGACGTTAGAAAATACAGACGGGAACATTTTCCTCATTTTTTAAAATGGATTAACATATGGAGGAAGTGGGATAATTTTGATTTTGTCTTAGTCAAAATAGCCTATTTTAAATATTTTGTTGGCTGGGCATGGTGGCTTACGCCTGTAATCCCAGCACATTGGGAGGCTGAGGCAGGATCATGGCTTGAAGCCAGGAGTTGCAGAATAGACCAGGCAACATAACGAGACTCCCATCTCCACCAGAAAATAAAAGCTGGGCATGGTGGTGTGCGCCTTTGGTCCCAGGTACTTGGGAGGCTGAGGCAGGAGGATTGCTTGAGCCCGAGAGGTCAAGGCTGCAGTGAGCCAAGATCGTGCCACTGCACTCTAGCCTGGGCGAAAGAGTGAGAACTTGTATTAAAAAAAAAAAAAAAAGATTTTGTAAATGTTCTTTACTAATGGAATAGACACAGTAGGGAGGGGTAGCTTGTGTCCATTACATGAATGCAGCAAAATGAATATTAAACTGGACTCAATGGGGCCATTGGCGAGGGCCTTGTGGAGACGCTGATGGAGATGGGCAGCATCGCAGGATTGACAAAGCCTGTCAATGCAGTTTCATGTTGATGAAAATAAAGCCTGGGCCAGGCACAGTGGTTCATGCCTATAATCCCAGCACTTTGCGAGGCTGAGGCAGGCAGATCACCTGCAGTCAGGAATTTGAGACCAGCCTGGCCAACATGACGAAACCCCCATCTCTACTAAAAATACAAAACTTAACTGGGCATGGTGGTGCACGCCTGTAATCCCAGCTACTTGGGAGGCAGGAGAATCGCTTGGACTCGGGAGGTGGAGGCTCAGTGAGCCGAGATTGCACCACTGCACTCCAGCCTGGTTGACAGAATGAGACTCTATCTCAAAAAAAAAAAAAAAAAAAAAAAAAGAAAGAAAAGAAAAGCCTGCGTGAAAAGCCTTAGCATTAACACTCCTGGCAGCAACAGCTGCCTTGCCTGCCTCTGCTTTCGCAGCTGTTTTATGTAGGTGACAGGCGGATGGGAGAACAATTGAGCTTTTCTTCTGGTTGAATTTGAGTTTCCTCTTTCATTTGTGGGTTATTGTTTGAAAAGAAGTGTACCCACATTCTCTGCTCTGTCAGCATCTTCCTTCCCAAGTTTTGAAGCGTGCCACAGATTGCTAGGAGACAGCTGAAATTTTTAAAGCTTTTTATTATGTGTGCTTAAAGATGGGGTAGAGATGCTCCTTGATGAGGGAAAGGTGCTTTGGCGTTTGGCAAGAGGAGATCATGCCTGCTCCCCTGACCTTCCCGCAGCTCCTCGAGGCTGGTATGCAGGGGGAGTATGAGTTTTCCCTGCTCCTCTCTGTGGCTTATTTTGTAGAAAAATCATGCATTCTTGTGGAAGTGACTGACACTGACAGTTCTGTCAATCAAGGAAAATGACCAAGGCAAGTCTCAATCATTTCAGGACATTTATTTGCGAAAGTTAAGGATGGGCGCCCGGGAGACAGGTCTATGCCTTTCTCCTAAGATGATTTTGAGGTCTTCAGTATTTACAGGGGAAAGGGCAGGATATTAAGAAATAGGCAGTTTTCATGTGAGAGGTGGGTAAATAGTCATTCATGCCTTTGTCTGGCTCGGTGGATCTGCATTTTTACATTAGGTAATGTAGACAGCAGGGCAGAGGAAACAATCAGATATGCATTTGTTTCAGGTGGGCAAAGAGACGACTCTGAGTTCCGTCCTATGTCCCCCGCACCTGTGAAGATAAGCTATTAATTTACATTACCATGTTGAACTTTAATAGAAATGCTGTAGGGTAAAGAGCTTGGGGCTCACAGGAGTTTCCTTGTGGGCAAAATATGAGGGAGGTATGCAGCTTTTCATCTTTGTTGCCATCTTATTTAGGAACCCAAATGGGAGGCAGGCTTGCGTGAGCCAGCTGCCAGCTTGACTCTTCCCTTTGGCTTAGTGAGTCTGGGGTCCCAAGATTTATTTTCCTCTCACAGTTCCATTGCAAAAAGTGCAAAGTTCACAGTGATGGGAAGCATAGAGAAGGTACAGCTTCAGCGGCTTACGGAACCACTGTCTGACATTTGAAACGATGGCGTATGTTCCTGGAGGGGGTGAAGGAATGTCTTGTGTTCTTGTGATGCACAAGGAGGGAAAGGGAGCTAGCATTTATTAAACTCCTACCGTGTGCCGTGAACGCTTTCATTTAATTCTCACAGCGACCTTCAGATTGGGCATTGTGACCTTTTAAAAATGAGAACTTGAGTTGGGAGAGAAAAAATGATTTGCTAAGATTATGCAGGAGTGACTGGAAGACCCCAGCCCTGGCCTCCTCAGGGTCACAGGCTTCTACCTCCCCACCATGCTGCACTGACTGTCTTGGGGGGACGAATGTATGTTGACTGGCTCACCCCCCTATCTTCTCACTCTTCTTATACTGCCAGGAGTGCGTTGTGTTGTCAGATGATTGGCCCAAATTATGATGCAGTCATAGTCAAGAGCGTGAGCCACAGGGAATAGAGGCGTCAGGCATGGCCTGGTTAGCAACGTGCTCCCTAAGTCATGGCTGGAAGACACCACGTATTTCTCTGCTGGCCTGTGTCTACTCACCGTGCTGCTGACAACTCTATTGTGTCCAAAATCACACTTTCCTGACCATTCCCGGAGTCGTTTTTGATAACCACAGGCAGCGGGCATATAAAGGCACAGTTGCCCTCTTCCTACTATGCAGTTTGGTCCAGGAACAGAGACAACTTTCTCAACTGATGTTTTTGTTTTCTTTTCTCCTTTTCTGGAAATCACCCTCAGGTCTCGCCCTGCCTATGCAAGCTTTTCTTTTCCTTTGGAGGGAAGCGGGAAATTCTCCTATCCTGATGGATTCAGCCAGAGATGGCTTATTATTCTTAAGTTCTTCCTTATCAGAATTTTCCCAGCAGGAGGTAGTGGTTCATGATGGATGCGTTGGTTTCCTCACATCTGGAAGATAACCAGTGGGGACTGCCCCAGCAGTGGTTTGGTGTGTGTGAAGCCTCTCTGTGGCTGCCACCACGTGGTGTCTCCCCATTTCACATCTGTGTGAGGTGGCTTGGACATATTGAGGTACTGGAGACCAGCAGCACCTCCTGGACTAGCTCCTTCCAGAGTCTCTTCTGGCTAAGAGGGAAACTGGGGGAGTCATGCTGGACTTGGAATAGAGACCTGTTGTCCCTGTTCCAGTTGGGACAAGCTTTGAGAAACACCCACACCCCAAGGGCAGGCAGTGGTCAAAAGGGGAGAATGATTCACTGTCAGCATCCCTGTTAGCCAAACTGTCCCGACCCGGGGGTCGATCACTTGGTTAGTATAATAGTTTTTTACTCTGTTAAGCAAAGGTCCCCACATTAAAACATGTTCTCAGTGAAATCTTAGACTCGGACGCTGATCCCGCAGCCACCCTCTGCCTCCCAGCATGGGCGGGATGATCTTGGATGCATTTATTCTTGCCCCTTGCACGGTTGGAGTAAAGTGCTTATGAAAACATCTCTTTTATTGATTCTGCGTGCTTTTTAAAATTCCATTTTCAAGAGTGAGAACAGAGAACGTGTGATGTGACCAAAGGTCTCCTGCTGGTGTGGAAAGGTAGCAGGCTGCCTCTGCAGCTTTGCCCAGAAGCTGGTGTCCTGGACTTCTGCTTCTCAACACTCCCGAGGAGCTCCCTTTGGCTGTAATCACCCACTGGCCTCCTCTGTATGAACAGCAGGGGTGAAACTCTTGATGTTACTTCTTCCTCCATTGAATAAGCCAGATTCTCTTTCTTCTGAGGAATAATTGAAGTCTTTTGCAGTGTATGTAAGCAAAATTACCTAACACTCTGAAATTTTTCGTACAACAGTTTCATCTGGAAAAGAGGCCATTGAAACCATGCATTTGTGTTCAAGTAAGAAAGTATATCCAAGTCACAAAGAAGCATCATTTGGCTTTTGGAGACATGGGCAGCTTCATTTCTCATTTGTTCAATCAGAGCTCTCCGCTAGGCTTCTAAGTGCCACATCCTGTCCAGAATGATGAAAGATACAGAAAATGGTGCCTGCTGACCTTCTGGAGTTTTTGACTAATGAGAAAGGTGAGTGGTATTCCAAGGTTTGTATCAGGAATTAATAAAATACAATCCCAGTAATTAAAGTGATATAGTACAATATGGGGTGCTGTGAGTAGTGATAAGGAAATGAGGATTAAAGGTAAGGAAGAGTTAGCTGAGCAGAGAGAGAAAGAAGAAAGCAAAACTGGGAAAGAGCAGGAGGGTCAAGAACTGAAAGGAGGTTGGGTGAAGTGGCTCATGGCTCTATTTCCAGCACTTTGGGAGATGGAGATAGGCAGATCCCTTGAACTCAGAAGTTCGAGACCAGCCTGGGTAACATAGCAAAACCTCATCTCTACAAAAAATACAAAAATTCACTAGGTGTGGTGGTGCATGCCTGTTGTCCCAGCTACTTGGGAGGCTGAAGCAGGAGGGTCACTTAACCCTGGGAGGTGGAGGTTGCAGTGAATCAAGACGGTGCCTCCGCACTCCGGCCTGGGTGACAGAGTGAGACCCTGTCTCAAAAAAGCAAAGCAAAACAAAACAAAAGGTCCACACAGCTGAAAGGGAACAAGGATATCCTGATGGCTGAGAGGCAGAGGAAGTCACTTGGAACAACAGGACCTTCCCAGCCAACTGAAGGAATCTTTGGTTCTCATCTTAAGGATTGCCAAACTTGTTTGTCAAGAACAAAATCTCACACCATGTAGAGTTAAGATGACTTCATGTAGCACAATTAAATCTGAGTGCTGGAAATTGCTTCCATTGCCTCTGGTTTAGGGTGCCTCATATAAATTGAAATCCAGCAGGCCAGTTTCTAGAATGATCATACTCCCTTGTTTTAATTAATTATTTAATTAATTAAATTTTTGGTTCTCGGGCCTCAGTCTCCCGAGTGGCTGGGATTACAGGTGTACCCCACCATGCTCAGGTAATTTTTGTATTTTTTGTAGCGACAGGGTTTCGCCATGTTGGCCAGGCTGGTCTCCTGAGTTCAAGCGATCCACTGACCTCAGCCTCCCAAGCGGTGGGATTATGGGTGTGAGTCACCATGCTCGGCCCCTTGTTTAAAATCTTCCTCTTTCTTCCCCACCCCTTTGCCTGTGGTTTGCACGCTGAATTCCTATCACTCTCAAATTCTTCATGGAGACCTTACTTAAGCAGCCTAGAGTCTATGGCTTTACCATTAGGGCAACAAGTTTCCAGAATAACCTGGGAGAAGATGTTCTTCGGGAGACAGCACTTGTCTTTGTTTTCAAGGTGTTTTATATGCGGTTAAAGATACCATCCTCCTGTTATCTCACTAGATGTACACAGTTAAAAAGTTTTACAAAAGTTTCAGAGATTTTTAACGTGGTTGGCTGCACAGAATAATTGGCAGCCCTATTAATGATGTTCTGGTGATCTTCTTTTGCTGTGGTATTAATTTGTTTAGTTTAGTTTTGGGTCAGAAGAAAGACCTCAGTGCTTTGATTCTTAGCTTATTGTGTAATCAAAAGCTTACTTTTAAAAAAGTCGATTGTAGATTGGCCTTCCTGAATCTGTAGATACCATATTTGATGCAGTGGACAAAATTGTTCAAATAAAATCATTCAGTGTTATTTGGGTTATTAATCAGAAAAGAATGCATCAGAGATTTAAAAAAATCAGGTTATAAAAATATTGACTGTGCTTTTGGCTGCTTAGAGATTGGGAGCTCCCTAGTAGGGGTACTTAAGTTAAAAAAAAAATAGAGAAAGAGCTTCAGCAGAGGGTAGATTGTAGAGTGAGGGGAGGGGACAGAGCCTGAATGGGGGCCAGACCTCCTAGCATATGCACCTTCTCTTTCTCACTGTCTTGAGTCTGAGTCCCAAGACCGGGTGAGGTCATCTTCTCCATGTTTGGGAGAGAATAAGAGTCTAGGGGGTTAAGTGATGCTTCCTAGCATGAAGCACAGTGGATAGGTTGGAAGAGAGCAGCACTTCCCTCTGGTAGTGTGTTCTGGGGGGCAAGTCTGGCTCTCCATGCAGTTGAGAGAAATCTGAGTAGACCCCCATGGCTACTCCCGATGACCAGTGCCATACTGTACACAGCAGGTGCTCAATAAATGCTGAGAGACGATCTTTGCTGTGGACTGAATTGTGTCTCCTTACAATTCCTATGTTGAAGGCCTAACCCCCAAAGGGATGGTGATTGGAGATGAGGACGTTGGGAGCTGAGTGGGTTCAGCGAGGTCCGGAAGGTAGAGCGCTCATGATGGGATGAGCATCCTTGTAGGAAGAGGCACCAGGGCTGTCTCTTTGCCGTTGTGGGGACACAACAGGAAGCCGACCATCTGCAAGCCAGGAGGAGGCCCTCACCAGAACCCGGCTGTGCTGGCACCCTGATCTTAGACTCCAGTCTCCAGTACCGTGAGACAAGACATTTCTGATATTTAAGCCACCCATTGTGTGGTATTTTGTGGTGGCTGCCCGAGGTGACTAAGACAATCCTTAAAATGCCTTCCAGCTCTAAATTCATCAGTCCTGAGACCAGTGATCATGTGTCCAAATCCCTATTGCTTTTCTCCCCAGTCACTTAATTTGATTGGAGGCTTCTGTGTTGTATTGATGAATGGGACAGAGAGGCCCTGTTGGACTCGAGACTCATGGGCCCATAAAGCCCTGAGAAGAACCATGGGCCACGTGATGTCCTCGGCCAGAGTCCGGACTGCGCATTTGCTCCTCTTGGCCACTCTGAGCCACTCTGCCTGTCTCCAGCCTCCTTTCCCAGCTTTCCCTCTGCACACCATGCTGTTTCTGGAACCCACGGGGCCCTTCCGGATTCCCTGCCTCTGCTAGCCAGCTTCCCTGGAGCAGGTCTCCCTGAATATCCACAGGCGGGACCTCTGTTCTTTCCCCTGCCCCGTTAAAGAAAAGCCAGAGCTGGACAGGAGGTAGAAGGTGAAGACAGTTTCTATTCAGGAACTATCGCAGTAGGGGAAAGAGACCTCAGTATAGAGCTGGGCTTAATTCTGAATACAGCATGGACAAGTGGGGAGGTGCAGCCCAGAAGCAGGGTGGAAGGCTCAGTGGGTGGAAAGTTACTTAGAAGAGACCCCAGGGGCGAGGGGGATTCTGGCTAAACCCACCTTGTTGGAGGCAGACCAGGGTGACCAGACATCAAGGGTGGGGGACGAGGAACCGATCAGATAGCGTTGGTGGGAATCTGGAGGCTGAGGCCAGGGTGACCAGACACTGAGGGTGGAGGACAAGGAACTGATCAGATAGCGGTGGTGGGGGATCCTGGCCAAACGAACTTTGCAGGATTCTTGCTAACACTGGGCAGTGCAGAGACAGACATGGAAATGTAAAGGTGGAGGCCTGGTTGGGATGAGGATTCAGAGGCACCCAACTGGGGTCTCTGCCAGACCTCACGCACCACCCTACTGTGTCAGATCCCAATTACTGCTTGGCTCATCCTGTGAGCCCTGAACCCTGCAAAGATTTGTCGTCTTTGGTGTGGAACCCCCAGCACCTGGACCCTTGCCTGCCCCAGGGGAGGTGGTCGGAAGAGGCTTCCCGAGGCAGTGGAAGGGCCTGGGATGAAGGGGTGGGGCTCTGCTCCTCCGCTGAGAGACGAAATAAAATAAATACAGGTGATTTCTCTTGGTAGTCACGTCACAAGTTCTACTCCTGTGGGTCAGGGCCCGCTCCTCAAAAATTCCTGTGTTAAAGTCCTAACCTGCACGACCTCAGAATGTGACCTTATTTGTGGGTGACAGCTGCAGGTGACACGAGAGCCCTTCCAACAGGGTGTGCTCCTGCCTTCGCCGGTCAGCTGCAAAAGGCGGGCACAGGCTGCTCCTGAGGCTGTGTGGCCAGGGCAGTACCTCACGGAACTCCCTGTGGCCATAGCAGCAGCAGCATCTGTGAGCTTGAAAGGGGACGATGAGTGAGACTTTTGTCCACCGTTCTTGGTTGGGCCGCCACAAGCAGATGGGAAAGACTGAGAAAGAAACCATTCCTCCCCCGGTGGGGACGCTTGAAATTCCCTTTCAACCAAGGGGAGGCCACAGGCACCCTGTTCATAGCTGCGTGCAGATGTCAGCGGCGCCTGGCTTGTTGGTGACCAGCAAGGGTCCCAGCTGAGCCGGGGCGCTCTCCGGTGGCTCTGGTGGGGCAGCCACAGGATCCCGGAGTGATGGTTCAAACATCGTTTAGATGGAGGAGCTGCTGAAATAGACTTGACAGTTTATTTTGCTTAGTAGAAAAAAAATTAAAAATTGTCAGCTACGATCATCATTTTTAAATAAGATTAAAAAGTGTATTTTACAAAAAAAAAAAAAGGTAAAAATGAGCAGCTCACCATGTCCCGCTTCTTCTACCCCAGCGCCAATGCCCTCCCTCAGCTGTGGTCCAGCCAGAAGACAAGGTCAGATAAAACAACCGCAAAGAAAAAAGGAAAACCTTCTAGAGTGGCTGGGAATGAGGCCACCTTGACGTCTTCCCCTGAATCGGTGCCATCGTGGTTTTGAAGTGTGACGGTCACCCAGCTCAGGGGTCCCCGCTATGTGAGCCTGTCCACCACTGTTCACCCTTGGTGGAAGAAGACGGGAGCACCCCAAAACATGACATCCTTATTTTCAGGAACCTCTAACTGAAATTGAGCTCTTCCTTTCTTTATGAATATAGGCACTGTCTTAGTTCTGTGCTGCTGTGGTAACAAAGTGCCTCAAACTGGGTGGCTTAAAACGCAGACATTTGCTGTCTCGGGGATCTGGAGGCTGGAAATCCGAGACCAAAGTGTCGCTGAGGTTGGTTCTTCTGAGGCTGTCGGGGAGAATGTACTCCAGGCCCTCTCGCGGGCTCTGGGGGTGGCTGGCTGCCTTTGGCGTTCCTTGGCTGGGAGACACAATGCCTCGAACCCTGCCTTCCTCTTCACGCTGTGTTTTCTCTATTTGTGAGTCTGTATCCAAATTTCCCTTAAGGAATACCCGTCATACGGGTTAGGGATCCCCCTAATGACTTCACTGAAACTTAGCGTAGAGCCTGTCTCCAAATAAGGTCACGTTCTGAGGTATTGGT